GACAGCTTGACTTTTGCGAGTCTTCTTCCTAGTGATGTGCAGCAGCTGTCTTTAAACTGTAGGAATGGACCCTCTTGACACTTTGTAAAATACAAGATTTTGAATGAGAAACATTAACTTGCAGTGGAACTGCAGTGTTACAGAAAGTTTTTGTGTATGCGGAGGTCAAGCTACAGACTGGAGAAGGCTGCACAGAATCTTTGATTTTTATCTGTGCAGTGACTAAAATCTTGAACATACCAGAAATAGTAATTATTTTTCTTTTTACTACTCTCTTTGCTGCTATCGCTGTTATCCAGGAGCCCCAAAAGCTTGACCTCAAATTTTGGGTCCGCTGCTGAAGATCATCATCTCTTCTCATCTGATGTCTCAGGTCAACAATTTGACTTAAACTCAGAAGAGAGAGCAATACAGTTGTTATTGGGCAGGTGAGTGTGGTACTGAGGGATGCTGCAAAATTGTCCCTGTTTGCTCAGTACTGAAGAATGCTTCTTGACCCTGTGTGTCCTCCACGTTGCTGAAAATGTATAAGCGAATTGTATGAGCCAGTGGTGGTGGAAGGAGGTGTTGTATACCTCAGCTTGCATGCAACTTTAATGCATGCCAAACTGTGTAGCGCAAAGTCACCTGATGTGAAAATGATGTTGGAAGGACTCATCACCATCTCTGATAAGACTTTTCAAGTTATTTAACAGCCTTATGTACTATGTCTTCGAATGTTAAAAAGTACATAAAACAAATAAGATATTTCCATGAAGAATTTGCAGTCTCTAAGTTAAAATTAGAGAGAACTGATAGTGGTTATTAATCTTCCTCCAAATATGAAAATGTTATTGTTGTCTCTTTTTGTGAAGAGCAGCAAGAATATAAATGGTGTTTATATTGTCTCCATCTAAATCAAGGATGTGAAGTCTACTGCTTCTGCGTCAGATATGGTGTTTTTAATTCGTGTCTTGTCCCCTGTGCTTACTTTTCTCCTGTGTTTTATTACTGGATAACATTGAAATGTTTGCGGGTCACAGAATGGTTTTGAAGTCACAGCACACAGAAAGCCTTTGAAACAAAAAAACCCAGCTCACTCCAACATTGTTTTAAAGATACTTGTATGTACTCAGAACTTAGTCTATATTTATTTTTTTTAAAGTAAACTATCCTTAAATATTACTGATAGCTTAAAGAGTTCCCAAACTTAGTAGGTTACTTGTGAGTAGATATCATAGATAGCTACTGATAGACTTTCTTTACAGTGAGGGTGATCAAGCACTGGAACTGGTCACCCAGAGATTTTGTAGAATCACCATCTTTGGAGATACACAAAACCCAGCTTGACATGGTCCTGAGCAACCTTCTCCAGTTGATCCTGCTTTGAGCAGGGGAGTTGGACGAGATGATCTTAAGCAGAAGTCCCTTCCAATCTGAAATGTTCTGTGATTCTATGTATATATGTTTACACGCTTTTTTTTTCCAGCAGGGGTCTAGAGAGGGTTTATTAGCTTGGGTGTAGTGCTGTGTGAGCACAGTTTGGCTGTATGAAGAGACAGCCTAGTACAAAGTCAGTGTGGAATAGACACTGTTGTCAGAATTTACATGAGATCGTCTGTAGAACTCATGACGCTAAGTTATGTTTTTTTCTGTTCTGTCCACAGTGTTGATTTATCTCCTGGGCATTTCTGGGATAGGACAGGTTCCCTTCTGGATTCTCTCTCTGTTGGGAGTGAGGTGTATGACAGTGAACTCAACGATCCCCATTACGACCAGAGTCTCCTAGAGAATCTCTTTTACACAGGTCCTGTAAGTGGCAATCAAAAGGAAGATGTTTAATACGCAGTCCCTAAAACGAAGGAAAGTCAGAAAAGCACACATCAGGAAAAAAAGGCTAAAGAGCTCAGTAGTAATAAGGCTTAATAAGCATTACGTATCATATAGAGGCTTATGAGGACATAGCTTACAAACAGATACTAATAACATAATAGTGTTAAGGCTATGAAGTTAAGCATCATGTTTGGAAATTGCTAGCATTCGGCTGTCCATAAAGAACTGGTTTTTTTTAATATACCTTTGAAAAATTTTGATGCCGTTTTGAATTATACCATCTGCAAGTTTATTTCTTTTTCCTGATTTATCGTGACCATTATGTATCTTTCTTGATAGTGATATTGTTATCCTCATACTTTTTGTGCATTATTTCTGTTTCAGAAATCTGATTCCAGTTTAAGTGATTTCCTCAGTGATGACGATGTTAACTCTTCCCATAAAGTAACCAAGGCAAAAACTCTCAAGAAAGCTGATCGTACGAACCTTCAGGGTCCTCAGAAGGAATCTAGTGCCTGTGATCAGGAGGTGAAGGAGACAGAAATTAAACTCAGGTAAATAGTTACATTAGTGACTGGCTTTGCAGCACCTTGCTCATTATAAGTTACTATTAGAGCATGCTAACACAGCGTGATTCTTGCTATCATTATCACGCAATCGACCGAATAAACATTTCGGTGAGGGGCTTTCATAGCATCTCTGGGAATGATGGAACCCAGGAATTGCTGTATGCTGTTGAAGAAACTATTTTAAGGAGGCATCATCTAGTTAAAAATCCTGAGTTTCCCAAAAATATAATAAGCTTGATAATAACACTTTTAACCAATAAAAAACACCGAATCTTCTGGGACCACAAGGGAGCGAATGCTTGTAGAACTTAAATACAAGTCAAAAGCATGAAACCCCTTCTGTTAATTGATGATCTAACTTGTTTTACAAAACCTAACTCAGGTATCAGGTTTGAAATTTTGGTTCTTTTAGTGCTGAATATATTTTAAAAGTCTGTAAAGAGAGCATATGATCACACGTCTTGTTTAAAAGCCTTCAGATATTTTACCTAATTTACAAAGTGAAACCAGTAACATTACTCTTTTTTTCTCTTGTTTGCTTTCATACAATTCCCTGTATAAAGGATTCTGGATGCTGGCAAGCAGCCAGGGAGATTTACAATAAGCAGTAGTGAATTTTTAAACTGTCTGTTTTATATACTTGTAACTATTTCTCTCAAAAATCCAGTTACCGAGCTTTACTAGTACAATACCACTAAGTATTATGGTTTCACTTCTTTTTTCTGATTCAGATCCAGAAAGTTATTTATGAAACTTTTCTGAAATACTGCTATTTCTATATTCAGGTGTAGTTCATTTCTCCAGAGGTAGCAACAGAAAAACGTTTACCAGTTAAATCTTAAAAATAAAAGCAAGATTTTAAATTACGTCAAAATTCCTGTTGCTCTTCTGCAGCAGTGACTCTTAGCTACAGCTATAACTGCATTTTTTTGTATCTGACGTTAATTGAAGCTTTTATTTTTGAAGACTTAGTCTGCATATGCATTTTTTTTAAATCCAATGACATTGAACATGTCCTTTTTCTTTGGTCAGGTACTAGATATTACATATTGTATGATTTCTGTTACAGAGACTACCACGTCTTTTGTAAAAGGATACATAGAAAAAAGTGCATTTTAATGAACCACGAGCGGTTTTTAACATCCTGCCCAGCTACGATTTTTCCTTCAGTTGGTGCTGTTAAGAATGTTTATGTAGGCCTGATTCTCGGTTTTATCTTTTCAGCTGCTCTCCTACTAGACAACTTGGTCCTTCAGAAGTTTCTACAAAAGAAGCTTGTCTCTCATCCTTGAGTGTAGATAGACTGGCACTGCTGGGGCGAATACACCTAGCCAGAGTCATCATTGAGAGCTTGAGAATCCCTCCTGAGAGCACCCAGATTACACCAGGAAAGAAAAGCTTAGTTGGGAAGCCCCCGAGACCTGCATCAGTCAAAAAGTGGTAAGGGGGATCGTTTCTCAGCAACCTGCTACCCCTTCCTTGGAGCTAGACCTCTCTGAGTCTTGTGTAGCCCAGCTTGCCTAAGGTCTTCAGGGTTCTGAGGTTTTCCTATTTCTCTCCTTGTCTCAGTAAAGTGTATATTTTAGGCTTCTAAAAATTAGATATATGGATAACTTATCCTGATGCAGACTCACTTCAGGCTTTGCTTTTTTCTGGGATTTTGGAAAAGTACAGACATGCCTTGTGCATGTCCATACTTTGAAAACAAATGGCGTTTTTTTGTAGGAGAATCTGTCGTTTAAGTAATCTAACTGAAAGATGTAATGAGCTATGGTCATTCAATTATTGTAAAAAACCATAAATTAAGTAACTTTATAAACTGTGGATATGAAGCATGTCTGCTATGTTCAGTTTCATTATGAGCATTAGTCTTTTGATGGCTCATAATCATCTATTCACTTTTTCATTCATAGCACCTTCTTTGTTGAGTACCACTTTCCTGTGGGAGCCTCTAAGGATGAAAAGGGACAAGTCTCCATAACAACAGAAGTAATTCGAATAGCTTCAAGTAAAATCACAGGCGATGGTAAGAGCATTATTTTTTCTCCCTTGTATTTGGCATTGTTGACTCCTTCATCTCTTAGCAATTATTTAGTAGCATTTACTTATGTATTTTCTTTGCTGTGTGGAAAAAATACAGTGATTTGTATTATGATTAGTGGCAGCTCTACCAAGAGAGATTTGGTGCGCTTGCAGGTGGTGGAATATTCCTCGCGGGGGGAGCAGGTAGCCAAGTGATTTTTTTGCTCCCAAGAAGTAGTCACATTGGGATTTTCACGTCTCTTCTCCTAGGGGCATAATAGCGAGTCAGTAAATCCATTCTTTTGTCTCAAAGTAAAGACAACGTTCTCTTTGCAATAGGACTCAAGATGGTGAATTCCTTTTATAAATATCAGAGATATTTATATATCAAAAAAATACCTAATTTTTTCCAGATGGTGAAACAGGTCACGTAACATCTTCAGGAGCACAGAGTATGCTAGATTCAGGAAATTCTGGCAAGTTCTGCGCTTGAATCAGTGGACATTTCATCCCTTTAGTTAGAGGCACCAGTGTTCCTATCCCCGAGAACACTTTCGGTTACGTTTCTGTCCTTGATGAGCAGAGAACGCTGCATGAGCAAGATCCTCTGTGCCCGTTTTTCCCAGAAACTGGAATTCCAAGGCAACTTTCAAATGACTCTTGTATGGTTATTCATTGGCTTTGCTTCTTTCTGGGTGGTACTTGAGATATGTGGATGGAATTCTCAGTTCTCTTGTGCATTCTCCATTTGTGTCCAGACAAAACTTCTAATTCTTCTGAAGCTTGGCTTTTTGTAACACAAAGACAATACTGCCTCTTGCACTTTGTCTTGTTTAGTTAGATTCCAGCTCTTTGGAACCTAGAATAAGGGACAGGACTGAAAATAATCTAAAGAAGCCATCTAGTCAATCCACTATACCAGTATCTTTCCTGAGCCATTTATCTCATCTCTTCTTAAAGATGCCCAACAATAGAGATTCCATAGCCTCCCCAGGCAAGCTATAAAAGTGCTGCCCTGTTAGAAAAGTTTGCTTATGTCTGATCTGAATTTTTGTCATCGTAAGAGTACTTATTTCATCCATTGTGGACAAGCATAGCACGCTTTAAGACTGTTACTGTACTTCTCCTTGTGGTTCTCTTTGCTAGAGTAAAAACCAATCCATTCAGTCTTTCCTTGCAGATAATGTTTTTCTCCTCGCCCTATGATTATTCTTGCAGCTCTGCTTCTGTCTCCAGATATGTCTTGAAATGCGTCAACCGAAATGAGATGGAGTTCTCCCACCAAAGAAAGGACTCTCTCTTACTGCACGCTAGAACAACATAGACTTCGTATTAACTGCAGCCTTTGGATGCTGCCATAATATTAATGTTGTCATGCTGCCCTCATGCTGTTTTCTGGCCTCGGAAAATGAAGAACAGTTTACTTTGAACTTGATGTTAATCATGCAAAAGTAGATGACTGCGTGAATAGCAGAGCAGTGATTATCTCCACAGAAAAGTTTATTCATATTCCATTAATGTTGAACATTTTGTGCTTCTACAAAAAAATGTAAACTGCCTACAGATTTGCAATATATTTTATAGGTTGAAACCTCAAGAGAATTCTCACTGAGCGTTCCAGCAACAAGCGGTTCCCCTTCAGCTCCTACCCCTTACTTGATCCCTGATTCTGGCAGATGTGCAAATGCCCTCTGTATTTGTCCACCCTCCTGAGAAGTGCCATAATTTTCCTCTCGTATGTCCTGAACATCACGTGTCTGTACTCACCCTGCATGTTTTCCACACAGAGACCGAAGATTTCTCAGTTCCAGGTCAAACTCAAAAGACAGGTTAGCTCTGAACCCAGATAAGAGCTCATAAGTCTCTGTCTTCCTTGCAGTGGTAAAATTCCAACAGCGGTTTGTGTTCCCTGTTCGTTTTGGTGGAACGATGATAGAGCACTGGTGGAGCTCTGACCTTGCTTTTAAAATCTACATGAGAAAAAGCACACAGAAAAAGGTACTACTAGAAGTTGTTTGAACTTTGTGTGTTAAAAGGCAAAGAAAGACTTTGCATTTGCATTTCCTCCAAATGCTTATGCATAAAGTGGTGGCTTTTCTAAGTTACCTGCAGTGCTTCGTTGCAAATGCTGCAGTCTCAGCCATCAAATGCAAAACAGACTGACTCACATGATTTGAATGAGCTGCTTCGTAATCATCCATTGCCAGATATTGTAAAGGGGAATGACATTATGTGCAGATGCTATAAGCTGAACTAACTGATGTTCAGTCTTTCTACCCAGCTAAATGGTCTTCTGTGGTCAAGGCTGACAGGCCAAAAAAATTGTCCTTCCCTCATCTTTAAAACTGAGTTCTTGATGTTTAAGGATATTGGATCAATTACAAGCATTAATCTTCAATCAGAACACAGCTTGTTAAGCAGCATAGAATGAGTTAGTGTGGATGTTGATATCGTTACTCTGACTAGGGTAAGAGGAATAATGTGAGGTGTGAGCAACTGGCTTAAACTGTGCATTTGAGAAAAAAATTTATTTGGGGTAGATAGGAGCAAGTAGCCATATGTGCACAATCGTCTGCTCGTGATAAGGTCAGTGAGAAGTGTTAATTCAGCTTATGTTTTGTTTTGATCAACACCAAAGATATCTGCCCATCTGTTCTAATAGAAGCTCTTCTTTTAATGGACGAATAATTTGCATCTTTAAGTTTGGAAGCCTTACTCAGTTAGTAGGATTTGGGATGTTCATTTTTGCCTTGGTCTGGAACTACTATAGATCCTGGAGGAGTTTCGCATACTGTCATCCTACTGATGCTTGGGATTGGAACTAAGGGAAACTTTAATACAAATCCCTGTTGGTATAACTCATGAAATGAGTGGAGTGGGTGAGTGGTTGACCATGGCTTTCCTCGCGCTGTCAGAAGGCTTCTATTTGACAATATGCCTTTAGTTAACTAAACCTATCAGAAAACTAGCAGAATGAATTCTTTCTCTGTCCTCAGCCGGTGGCCGTTGGCTCAGCAGTCCTTCAGTTATGCAAGGTTATTCAGTCTGAGCAGCTCGCTGTCAGCTGTGAGATACCTGTGGAAGAAGAAGGAGGTCAGACACAAGTGGGACCACTTCAGGTATGTGTTTTGCCATATTGGGTTTGAGTTGAACCACTTTTTGTTACTAGTTTTGGCTGGGTATTCTTTTGTTCTTTCCTCCTCTCTTTTTTTTCTCTCTTTGTTGTAATTTGCCAGGTCTCAGATAGGAAGGCTTGTAGAGCCAGTACAAGAAAACATGAACCTCTTTTTTTTTTTTCCTTAAGGTTTTGGATAAATATTTCAAACCTTCTTCAAGTCCAAGGGTTTTGCTGTGTGACGTTCCCTTGGCTGCAGGATAAAACCAGGGTCAGTAAGCTGTGGCTTGTGTACAGAGGCCACTCTGCAGGCAGATTTTGCATGGCACGTATTCAAGGCTAGGAGCTTTGGCATATGAGACGGGAGGTGGCAGCTTCCTGGTTCGTTAGCTCCACACACGGCATGAGCTGAGGGTCTCTCCTGACACACGGGTCTGATGCTCCCTGTCATTGGTAGCACCTTGTCTCTTCAGAAGTTACCTTTTCTACCCAGACTTTCTACGAGCATGTTCAACCCCTGAGAAGGAAAAGCAGTCCTGCACAGCACACTTGAGAGGTTTACCAGTTCCAAGTGTTCCTTTAACCCTTGTTTTGGTGGGGTTTTTTGGTGCTTTCAACCACACATTTTCATTCATACTTCATTTATACTAATCTTAATATTTCTGTTACAAATATTGACAAAATGACGAGGCAATTCAGATGTGGGACAGAGTGTAAAAAACACAGAAACAAATGGAGGCAGATGCAGTGGAATCTGCAGACCGTTGGAGAAAAAACAAAAGGAGCTGACAGAAGGGCAAGGATATTTAGGAACAGCTAACATCAGCCAGGAACGTAAAGGTGAAAGCAGTGAAAAAGAGGTCATTCAGAGAGAAACACTCTTCCTTTTTCTTAATTTTCCTGAAGCAGCAATTGCTCTAGCAAGGTGAAGAAAATGGCAATTGTGATACTTTGTCACAATACTTTTCACGTAAGCTAAGGGATGGTCAATACATTTTGCAGTCTGCTTGGTGATTGATTTTACATTTCTCTTTTATTCAGCTGTAATTGTATGTGTGTGTACTTGAGTTATTGCTTTATTTGATAAAACTGCAGATAGTTTATTTTGGAGTCAGGGTTGTAGCTTATGACCAGCATGTATCTAATACTAAGCATTCTGAGTAGTGATCTAAAACAGTTCTTGAACAAAGTATGCAATGCATTTTCCGGAGGGTTGTTATTGTAGTCTCTTGTCTTCTGATCAGCTCGCTTTGCCTTGTGTAATGCAGGTATCGTTAGAGCTTGCAGCTGACAATAAAGACTTCACCTGCACCACTGCCAGGTCAGCTATGACCGTGCAGCGAGTCCCAGCTCATGCCATAAGAAGTCCCCGGCTGGAATTCCAGGAACCCAACAGGAATAACGTAAATGCAGAAAGCCCTCGCGGTTTGAAACTTAGCAATCGTGAAGACTCGCAGAAGACAGGAGCGGCCAGCACAAAGATCGTGCAGCCACCACAGGCCGTATCAAGCTCTGTGTCCCGTAATCTGATGACACAAATAACTGCATCTGAAGAGGATGGGCTATTACTGCATGTGCTGTTGATGGTGCCTGATGGAAAAGGTTTTGTTAGTGGAGACTCTGCTTTCTATGGTTCTTGTAATGTGTATTTAAACTGCAAGCTGCTCAGCACAGAGGAGGCAACAAGATCTGCTGTCATATGGGGCACAACTCAACCTGTCTTTAACTTTTCTCAGGCAAGTCACACCTCTCCCTTGTTACACTGCTTGAAATGTATCATTTCACACTGACAAACGTATTTGAAAGATAAGTTACTTTTATGTGAGTAGCAACTGTTTGGGTCTGACCGGTATGTTGAAAGTATTTTCAGTATTGTTTTGGCTGCATTGTAAAGTCTGAAATGCAGATGAGCAGGTCCTTGAATCACCCAAATAGTAAAACTGAAAAAGAAGTTGACTCCTCCTTTCTTCCTTTAGAAAGAAAATATAGTGTTGATGGCATCCTAATATGTAATTGTAGGTTTGGTTTTGTTTTGTTCCATTGGTTGATGTTCTTCTTAACAGATTTGTCTGGCGTTTGGGTTTTCATTCTGTCAATGGCCAGAGCTTTCCCCAGCAAACAGCAGAAGTTCAGAGTTCTGCTGTATTGCAAACATCTTTCACATGCTGGTTTTTTTTTTTTCCTTTTTAATAACATTCTGAATTTGTAGTTGTTTTTCTGGCCATTGTTCTTTCAAAATGTCAGGATGCTCAAATGTGTTTGTTTTGTTTTTCACCATACTTAGTGATTTGAGTTGTGAGGCTTCTTGGTCTTCAACTGAAAGAGCGGAATGTAAAAACATAGCAAAAGACATCCAAAACAGTTGTCTGAACTGATTTATCTGTTTAATAAATAGGATTTTTTTTTAAGTTTAGAAGCAATTGATTTTTAAGATAAGTTTTAACATGAGATCAGTCATTATCTAAATTGGATTTATTTTCCTGGCTTGTTTTTTTCCAAGCCTACCAGCTCTCTGAAACATGTTAGGCAAGTACACATCTAATTTTTAATTTCCGTTTCTAAATAACACAGTTCAATGTGTTCTAGTGTGTTCTGTGTACTAATTCTGCATTAAACTCTGTCAGGTGATGCCTTTTTCATTGACTTGCAAACATTTGGAACGACTGAAGAACAACTTCATGATTATTGAGGCATGGAACAAGACGGGAAACCCTGGCTGCGACAAACTGCTAGGATTAGTGAAGCTTCCTCTGCATCAGTTCTACGTGTCATTCAAGTAAATGTTTTTCCTCTGTATTTTCTTGGTTTGGGATATATGATAACTAATGCTCAAAGAAAAAAGGGTGGTGTCTGGAGTGTGCATGGGAGGTTTCTTTATAGAATGAGGCATTTTTGTCATGCCGAGTTTCCTCTGGCACTCCCCTACACTGAGCAGTATCTGAGTAGGTAACACCGTCCTGGTATAGAAATACAAGTAGACTGTGAGAAATAACGACACTGTGCTGCATTAGGCTTTGAGCCAATTTAACTTGCTCTCCTACAGAAGAGTAATATTGTAAACGATCCAAGGGACTGCACAGAAAAAGTGAATGTGGCTTTTGGAGCTGTTAGTGGCTACACCGGATTAGAGTAGAATGTGGCACGTGCAGCACCCTCCACTTACTTCCATTGGTGATTTTCCAAGGCTGTGACTGATGAAGTGGGTGGTTTTGTTCGTGACTCTGCCCTGCATAGATCCCATTGCTAAGGGGTGCTGTCAGTTTGCACAACACAGGATGATGCTTGTGACATCAAAAATGTGTTTAAATACTTTGTGTTTTAACTGTATTCTAATCCCGTGGCTCTTTCCAGAGCAATTGGTTCTTTTTAGTTCACTGTTCTGGCCTCTTGTTCAGTCAAATAAATACCTGCTTAAAGCAATTAAAATTAATGGAAATAATAGACAGAAGAGATTATTTCTAATTCAAGGGATTAGTTGCTTTTGGTTTGGTCAGACTAATCATAGGTGGAAATCAGATGGTGCTTAAACTGACTGGCCAGTGTTATGTTAATTACTAGTGTATCATTTGTAGAATTGTTTTTGGTGAGCCACCGTAATTTACTTGTGTATATCTTCAGTTTCGTATTAAAAGTTCTTGCGTTTTTAGACTTGATGGAGACTCCATCATCTCCTGTCTTCCTGCCCTGGTTCATCCCCAGAGGCATAACTAGTTCATAAAAATATAATGTGGCTACAGTGTATTAATGAGAGTCTTGTTCCAGTTCATCGCCTCACTCACAGATCTCTAGGCTGGTTTGTCACTACGGCCGTGTTAGATTTTAGAGAGCTCTGCTTTCTCACTGCTGAAAATAGCCGTTCCCATTCAGCGGAAAGCAGATCTGTGCTTTATGAAGACTACTGTAGTTGACCTGCATTTTGGAGGAATGGAGATGGATTGGTTTCTAGCTGCCTGGAAAGCTCTATCTGAAATGAGCTGTGCATGAACTTGTTCATATTCAGGTGACCTATTCATGGGCTTTTTTGGTGTTTTGTTTTGTTTTGTTTTAATCTACTGTAGAGATCCAAAGATTTCCCGTCTGCTTCTTCAAGCTCAGTATCCAGTGGTTGCTGTGGACAGTTACATGCCCGTAATAGATGTTTTTACGGGCAGTAAAAGTGGAAGCCTGAGGGTCATTCTGGCTATGGGATCAGCTGATCAAATAGTGGAACTGCAAAGGCTCAAGAATGAAGAAGGAGTGGTACCTCCCATCACACAGCGTCCTGCCCACTCTCTGGACCCTCCTCCTACAAAGCCCACAGTGGTATTGTTCAGTAAACTCCTGTTTTTGCTGTTAGGGACACGTGAGAAGGGTTTCAGCTATGGCTTCATTAATAGACTAGTGGTCTCCGATCTCTGCTGTAGCCAGTTTTGTTACAGGTGATCGTGTTCTGTGCAAAAGTATTATTATTAAAAGTATTATTATTATAGTATTATATTATCTCTCACCAGTCTTGACATTGTTCCCCTTTTTACTGCCCTGCATATTCACTGTTCTATGCATATGACAAATGCAGTAAAAAAAAAAAAAAATCTAGAAAATTGTAATTCTTACAGCCTTATTTTGTACCACAAAGGTTTTGCCACCAAGTTTGAATTAGATGTGTATGAGCTTTCATGTTTATGTGCTGTCTTCCTGGCTTTTGCAGAGTAAGGATTTGCTGTCAGGCTTTTAATTTTCTGTGAACTTTAGGGAGAAAATGGCAGGTAGTGATTCTTAACCCCCTGTCTCAGGCTTCTTAGGATCTCACGTTCCCAGTCCTTTTGTATGCAATTTCGTAGAAAGTGTTCCTTTCTATCTGGGTTTCCTTTCTTTTGTTAGCAGCTAGATAGAGAAGGGGAAGAACTGATGGAGCATGTGTTTGACATCCGTGTGGAAAGTGTGAAAGGACTCACTCCCTTACAGTCCACGGTCTGGGGAGAGGCTGACTGCTACATACAGTACTATTTCCCAGTGCAAGAGGCTAGCTGTGGTGCGTTGCAAGGAACTGAATTGCACGAGGATGGTAAGTTTGTTTTATGATACCACCTTATTTAGAGCATTGCTTTAGTTAACTGTTGTTTAGTATTGTTCTGTCTGCTTAAGTAAAACGATACCTGTTTCTCTGAGCCTCCATAATGCAGCCAGTGCTTGCTTTCCTCAGAAGATCAGCATACAGCTGTATTTGGGTTAGGTCAATAAATTAAAAGCCTGCTTCAACTGAGGCAGATGGCAAAGGTCCCAGTAAAATAGATGTCTGGTTCCAAATCTATTCATATGGTACCTTTTTATTAAAGAGCCTAATGTGGTTCACAGACTGATTCTGCAAAGACGTAAGAACGGATTCACAGGAAACACTAAGAGTGTGTGCAGTTAAATTCAATGAAGGCTTTACATGCACAAGCATTTGGAGATGCTCATTTTCATGGCTGCACCAAAATAAGACTGGCTGTCTTAACTCATGGGAAGTATGAAGGAGTATCTAAATAATTACAGTTCTAGGAAAGGACTTAGTGTTAACTCTGAGCACTTTGAATCACTAATGCATGTTTCCTCTGAAAAATAACACTGTCAGTAACATTATTCCATAGGAACTGCTGTGGACTATGTCAGCTTCCAGCCATATTTAACTGTAGTTTTTTCAGTCTGCAGACCACAAATTCAGGGGATCATGTGAATTGCTTGTAAAAGATCTGCGAAGCATAATTCAGAAGAGCAGGCCTTTTGTCAGAAGGCTTTAACTTACTGTACAGGGATCCTGCCTTCTGCGGAAAATACTTGAACGACTGCAAATAGGAGAAGGTTGAAACCCACAAACGCAGACAGTGGAAGCGTGGTTCTATTCCGCACGGTGCGGTCTGTGCAGAGAAAAGACCCCCTGAGCTTTCACCAGCCCACAGTAGTGAGTTCCCATAGTGCCATATGTACAGAGCAGTCTCCCTCTGACCTTGATCAAGCTTATTAGCACAGGTGCAACACTGCACAAATGTGTCTGTGTTGCTTCCAGACCGGCATTGCCCCCCTGTCTCCACGCAGGACTCCCCAGCACTTGCATCCAGGTTAGCTTGCCCAAAACCAGTTCAGGAGTCTGAAGCCTCAGGGTATGCCCTGTTTATAAATTCCAATGTGAATGTCTTCTGCTTCTCTCCTTGGATGTGAATTCAGGACTGTCTGCCTAACCAACTCACTTGATTTGTAGGTATCGAGTTAAAGGCTTTTCGCACAGCAACTACTTTGTGCATCCCTGATCCCATCTTTCATGATGAGCGTCGTCATTCTTTGTTGGTTCCTGCCGATGTTCCAGTCCAGAGGCTCCTGGTCAGTGCGTTTATGGCACCGGGAATGGCTGGAGGAGGAATCCAGTTTGAAGTCTGGTGCAGGTACAGAGTAAGGTCCTATTCTTTGTATGTGTCACAGCAGTACAGATAGAGGTGTATCTGGTATTTGAAAAATCTCTGATTACGGGATAGGTATTTAATAATAAGTGAAAAATTAGTGAGCTCATCAACATTTGATGATGGGAATGTGTTTAAGACATTTGGGCCTTTTTTCTCCCCAAAAAGTACTGATTACCCTTTTCTTCTTACAGCTTTGTGAGCAAATGTGTGCTCTCAATTTTCTTTCCTCCGCTTTATCAGCATAGTGATCTAAAAGTAGCATTTAACAGCATGATTTTATTGTTTTTTTCCTACTACAAGTCACTGGCTTCAGGAGAATATACTTGAAAATGTTTGCATATTGTCTTGTTTTGTATTTCCATTATTCTTCCTGGATCATTAAAGAATCTTAGCTTATGTTTGTTCTTATTTGCATGATGTTTTATGCTATAGATAAGATGAGGTTATCTCATTTAACGCTAAGCTCAAATCATAATTTCTTTGGCAACTGAAGCTAATGGAAAGTAGAGACCACAAAGACAGGCAACTGTCTTAGAAAAGTGTATTTATAATCTGTTCATACTATAGTAAACAAACCAAGCTATTTAAAATTCACATGTTCATAAGAGATTTATTGTATGCTGGTTGTGTTGACATTAATGTTGGTAATGCCCAGATCAGTTGGAGTTACCAATTGTTAGTACCTGGCATTTAAAAACTGTATTTTAGTTCAATTTCCTGAAAAAAATTGGATTTCAGTGTAATCTTGCAGTAACCACTCACTGATAGCAGCTGGTAAACTTAGGCTCTTTTGGGCCAAAGGAACAAATTGGTAAGCCGTAAGCCTTTTAAGAATGCAGTAAACATCCTCCACCTGTTTGCCGTATTTAAAATGGGGAGCAGCTTACCAACAAATCTTTGCAATTAGGATAGTGCTTATATACTGACTGATAAATCCAAAATTGTAGATTGTTGCTGTGATACTATCAGCACCTTGAATTACTCCTAGAGTCATATGGGGACATGGTATGAAACGAGGCATTATATTGCAAGATGGTAGGACTACTAACCAGGCAGTGCTCTATCCAAGATTTGAATCATCAATTAAAGTTTAGGATTTTTTCGAAAATGAGAAGGGAAACACAAGTCTGTATCATTTAGTCATTGCTACTGAAAACACAGTGGATGCCTTTCTCCTGATCTACCTGTTGTTCGTTAGATAGAACACCTAGATAGTTCTGCAAGTGACATCTGTATTTATTAAAGGAAATTAAGAGTGAAGAATATTTGGTGCCAGATCTCTTTTGCTTTGGGATGCCATTTGTTGGTTGAGATACGGCTACCTGACTTGTTATAACTAGTGCTAAAGTAATTTGTGGTATTAGCTACTCAGGAGCACCTATTCTTTTTCCTTCTGTGGAAATTTGCTTACCTGAGTTTGTTCCTCCCCTATCAGGAGACTAAAAACAAGTGTTTGAAGACACCGGAATTCAGGTCAACTTGTGTTCGGTCCTGAGAGAAATTATGATCATTTTGTCGTCATCAGAACACCCGGATTGACACTGCTTCTTTGTGTCTTACCAGGTATTATTACCCAAATGTCAGAGACCAGATGGTTGCCAAAGGGACCTTGCCTTTGTCACGGGTGTGTGCCATGGTAACTATGCAGCATCGTGAAGAAATAGGGATACAGACCTTTAATCTTCCATTGGTCCCAAGGACTGATTCCTCAGAGGAATTCCAACTGCGTTCATCAGGTAAGGAAGGCTTGGGCTTTTTCACTTTATATGTAAAAGTAAAAGTCTATGTTTTCACTGACAAAGGGAATAAAAGCCTCCATCACAGAGGCTTAGCAGTAAATCGCAAGAATTAAAGGCAGATTCTTGGAAAAAGCGGCCAAAAGAAAAACCCAGAGAAAAGTGGGACAGGAGAAGGAATTCAGTGTACTTCAGCTACTTTGTAATAATTAGCTGCTTGCAGCAAAAGAAAATCTGTCTCTTTGGTGATTTTGTCACTGCAGTACTATAAAAATGATGTGTTTGAAATAGTGCAGTAGTGTATTTAAAAACTTGCGATGAGTGCACACATGAGGGCTCGACTGGGTTAAACAGACCGTCCTAGTTCTCTTATGTCATAAATTTGGCAATGAAAAGGAGCCATTAAGACCATCTGATCTGACTTCCTGTAGGATACAGTCTTTAAAATTTCCTTCTCTGCCTCCTGCATCAGGCCATAATTTCTGACTGAAGTAAGGGCGTCTTGCAGAAACAGTCTCAACGTTCTTTAATACTCAGCTATACATCTGTGTTTTTTCGTATGGAATTTTCTTTTGCGTTAATAGAGTAATTTTTGTATTGCGAGTTATAACAAAGTACTGATTATATTTGACGTAGCTGTATGAAACGCTGACCAATTCATTCCTTTTTTCTTTTATTTAATCGAGGGTTGCTTGATGTGAGTGTGAGATACCAATGTTCCATGAAAACAGCAGCAGGA